GTGTGTGTGTGTGTGTGTGTGTGTGTGTGTGTGTGTGTGTGTGTGTGTGTGTGTTATCTTTCAAAGAGATTTTCCAGGATTCAGAGCTTATCTTACCTGGAATACAAATCAGATGTTGTTTCATAAACATAAAATCCTTTAGAGGTATGTTTCTACATACTTCCTACTTAATTTCCCCTTTTTTTCTATTCAAAGCAAGATCACAAACTGTCCACTGAGAAAAGGAGTAACATCCAGAGAGCTGCCTCTAGCCTGCTGGCATCCAGCTAGAAATCCACCACCCCCAAGAAAGAAAATCAATATTAATAGAACAGCAATTGTTTCAAATTCATGGTTTTATGAGTACACTCAATTTTCAAGTTCCTAAAAACCTTTGCTCGTGACCAACAGGAAGAGAAAGAGCACCTGCATTTACAAGGCGTATTCTGTGAAGAGTGGTTTCTCTTTACATCACTTCATTTAAAAGGATTTGCTGGGGCAATTGGATTGGCTCTATCTGAAACAGCCCAATTATAGTAAAAACTGCCTCAGGCCTTAAGGGACTATGGGCTTTAAAATCCATGATGCTAGACAGAGTATTGGCATCCTTAAGAAGACAGCCAGAAAGCAAACTAAACAAGTACTAGAAATCTATTCTTAACAGCACTGCCAAGTGGTCTTGCTCCTCATTTACACTCCAGGTACAGATGGAATTAGAAACTCATGCTTTCATAGTAGCCAAATGGTGAATGGTGAATGGGTGAGGACAAATACAATCAGGACATAAAATAATCAGCAAAGTAATTAGATAAAAGTAAATTGCATGTGTAGCTCTTCACATATTCCCATCAAACATTAAACAAATCAAAACTCAGAAAAAAAAAAAAAACAGAAATTGACAGATGTAAAACTACCTTTATTTTATATATTTAGGAAATTTATATTATTCTGTTTTGTGTCTTTCTTATTCATGAAGTTAATCCTAGTGAGGAGGGTTGCATTACTTCTATAATTATGTAAATGTTGTAAAGACTGGCCACACATAAAGCCCCAGGCATTTCTTTCTAGGCATATGAAGAATGCCTTCACCTTTTATTTTTTCTATGGTTGCTTAGTGGGGTTCTGGACAATAAAGGACTGCCAGGCCTTAGGATGTGATTCCTTGGTCCTATAGGTAATTCAACAGAAAACAAAACTAGGTGGCTCCCATCTAAATGGAAGTTTTATTTGTTAATTCTTTAAATTCCCAAATGAATATTTTTGTGTTCTACAAAGTTAGAGGAGATTTTCTAGATACTAGGAATATCTATTTCTAAAGAACTTTAGACAGAGGTAAGTAATTAAAGCTAATAGTAGGTGCTAATGATGTGTTTTCCATGGTGTCAATATTAATTTAATTTTCACTGCTGTAAGAAAATATCCTATTCAGAAAATACCTTACGGTAGAAAGGTGGCTTATATATCTAGGTTATAGTTCATCGCAAGAGAGAAGTCATAGTAGTAGGATCTCAAAGCAGCTAGTCATTCCACACTCACTTTCAAGAGCATTCAGGTCTGTTTCCTTGTTTTCTCCTCTATTATACAAGACCCCATGCCTTGTTGTTCGTGTTTCCCACAGTGGGCTGTATCTTTCTTCATCAAATTATACATACATATATATCTTTGTGTTCATTACGGTCAATTATACATTTTTATTCATGCATATAAAAGCCTGTATTTCCCTTTTACAAATTCACTATCGACAAAGGACACACAGAGACAGAAACTCTTCACTCAGAAAATAATGAATGCTTTTGTGGTTTTGACTTTTAAACTGCAGAATCCATCAGAATTTATAGTATACTTAAATAATGCATAAAATATTAATTATAAAATGACAGACTCTTAGCTCCCTGAATATTTTTTACTACTATGATTGAGTGAGATATATAACTTGATAAAGCTTATCTTTGTTTAGAGGCATCTAGATGTAGCTTCTGACCTACTTAAAGTCTCCCTTTTTGTATTGAAAAGTTATAATTTCATATCTTTAGTTTCTACCTTTAGATCTACCTTTGCAGGCAGATTTCCTGATTTCCATGGTGAAATCTTGCTTCTGCAAGAAAAGCTTGTCTGAAGGTCAGAGAATGGAGCTTGCCACTAGCTAACCATAGAAGTCTGGAGGTCTGAACAGACAGAGAGGAAGGAGATAACTGGGCAGAGATGACATATAATCTGGCAGACACAGAAACCCACTCTCTGCTGAGATGCTTAGATAAGGTGTGGCTGTGGCTTGCTCATTCTCTCTGATCTCTCAGCATTTTTCTCAATATCTAACTCCATGTTTTTTATTATTTATACCAATTAAGAAGTCCATTTACATATTTCCTTAGTAGAGTTTCAACCCACCAATGGCCCCTAAAAATCTTAAGTATTTTAAATCCATTCCTGGTATTGTGTTTTGTTTTTGTTTTTTGTTTTTTTTTTTCACTTGCAAAGGCACAAGTCTGTAAGTAGGAATAGGAAAGAAAATTACAAGTGCTTGTGAATGTGATGGAAAATGGGCACATTCCTGGTGATACAAGCAGCTCTGCCCTGCATTCCAAAGTCCTTAGTTCAGATAAAGACTGCATCATGTGAACTCTGAATCTAACCATTTCTGTGCAGTTTGAAAAATAGTTGTCATTCATCTACTTTTTCACTAAATTTAAAATTTTGTAAAATGTATAATACTGAGACTTTCAGATCAATCCCCTGCAAATGAGGAATTTTTAATGCTAAGCAATTTGATATGGAGGAAATTAGAATGCCTTAAAATGAACATGGAAGTTGTATCCCAACCATCTTTTCCTGCAGTGGGACACAGATAACCTATGTCCAAAGTTTATCTATAGGAGTTCAAAGTTTACCACATGCCAAAAATATAAGGACTGTCTCTGGTTCCTTGCCTAACCTTTCATTAACTAAACTCATACTACAAGAGCAGCATCCATGATAACAACAGTAACAAGCTTCTAGTGCTTGTGCTTGTGACAAACAGACTTTTACATATGTTCTTTGTTGTTCCAGTTCATTTTAACTTCTTGAAAAGTCACACACTGCCCTCAGTCTCCAATCCCCCAGTTTTCTATGGAAAAGGGTATGGAGGTTTTCAAATCATATGAGCTTACTGAAGGCTTATGATCCAGTGATTATCCTCTGTGACTTTCAACCCTTTGAACATTAATGAATTTGTATGCCTTTTCTTCTTGTCAGTTCATTTCAGGAAACCTTCAGAGACTGGAAAGGAAAGGTCTCTTAGCCTACCCTAGCATTGCTTTCCACCATTATTTCCACTGAGGATTAATCATGGTATGTGTTTCAGTGATCCCTAATCACTCACGTTGTTAATACAACCTTCATGTAATTCCCCAAAATACATTTCTTTCTTTCATTAGCTCTTTATTTATATTGTAACTTAAATGTCTCTAGAAGTAATGATTTCCATTCAACAAAATAATATGGAAAGGTTATATAAATGTCACTGCTTTCTTGCAGATTTTACATGTTCTGTTGAACTTGGTGAACATCTGGGCAGAATTTATACTATAAAAGGAAATACTTCTAGTTACAAAATAGTGTTCCTTGAAATAGCATTTTGACTTGACACAGAAAGTGCATGAAAAAGTGTGAAAAGGTCCTTCTAATCACAGATTCACATATACAATGCCTCCATTTTTCTTTCTGATCCTTAATTCTAGATCACAAGAAGGGACATACTGACTTTTCTGTTTTTCATACTTGTTTATTATAAAATCAGTTACTGGTATTATATACAGCTTCATAAATCAGTGCATTCCATTTAGAATGCAAGCTCTTTTAATCTGTATAAAAGATTATATTGCAGAAAAGAGTTTGAATGTGTAAATTCCTTTGTTCTTAAGGGTTACAAAAGGTGGCTGAGTACCCGGAAGCCATGTAGAAAAATCCAAGAAAGAACACTCAAATTGTTTTGTTAATATAGTAAAAATACTTCTAATTTTATTTTGATATTCAGGTCTATATTTTGACATCTTAAAGAAAATCATTATGTTTAACTTGCATCATTAATTAATTAATTATAAGTCAGCTTAGCCTTGTATTGCTGGTCCTTATGCTTCAATTTTCTGTTATTTCATTCTCATTTTAGTGCATCAATATTCAGTATTTTTAGAAATAAGTAATATAACTGCTAGAAAAACAATAAAAAATTAAAATGAAATCGTTAAAAAACACACAATATCCTACCATTCCTGGAATTGAATTATTACACAATTCCTTATTACAAAAATATTCTTTCACATAAGTGATATTTGAATGCTGAGAAATTTTAGAAAGATATTACCCATTCCCACCACCCAGCTGCAGTCTCCATTTACTTTTAGATATATACAACTAAGTCCATGCAACTAAAGAAGGAAGCATTTTCTCATTAGTACTGTTTTATTGCTTCTTTACTTAAATTTATTGACCATTTACTAAATCATCCTGTTTAAATACAAGTTAAAATTTTTCCTGGTATGTACTAAAGTAAATTTGAATATCTGTAAGAACATCATTCTTCACTTGGATAGAGAATAAAAAATAAATGGGAGAGATTTTTAAAACATCTTTAAGATTTTCTCCTCATTTTTGGTCAAAATTACTTTATCAAAATACTTTCTCATACAAATTTTTTTTTAATTTTAGCTTTTGGGTTAATAAGAAAAATGAATCAGGTACTCAGCATGTTTAAATTTTTACTTTTCTTTTAGAGGAAGGGAAGTTTCAGCATTGCATACCTGGAGATATGATATAGAAGAAATCTTTAAATTCATCCATCCAAACTTCTGCCAGTCTTCTGTTGTTCTTATTAATGACATGGCCAGTGCCACCAGGGAATGTATATGGAGTTGCCTTTCGAAAAACATGACCGACGTGAGAGCAAGTCACAATCTCTAAAGAGCCTCCACATTGCCAGATCTAGGGAGAAGAACAATCCTGTGTAAGAGCTAATTGGAATTACACAATGAGAATTCATAGCATGACCAAAGTTTAGGCCATACCTGACAGATGTTACACATTTCAACAAAGTATTATAGGACACAGAATTTTGAGGTAGGCTATTCTCTTTTTATAAATGAATATAGTCTCTTTAAATATTTGTACCCTGGGATCTTAGAGCTAAGATGTAACTCTTTTTTATGTCCTTTTATTAGGTAATCCAAGTTATAGTGTCCAGTGGTTATCCAATTTTTGTTTACTAGATCATTTAGTATCCAGAATCTCTCATTGTGCATTGATGCAAACATGCAATGTCAAAAATCTAAATTTTGTTTGAAGAAAACTCTCAATATGTTCTTTTCATCTGGGATTGTAAATTCTTATCTAGTCCTAGCCTCCAATTTTTTTTAAATTAATCTTACACAGTTGGATGTCATTATTCTTACTAACATTCTGGGATTCTTTTACTTCTGCTAACCATGTACATATCCTTCAAAATTGTTTTTTTTTTTTCTTTCTAGGACATTCTTTGGAAAGACTGAATATTGGTTTACTTTTACACTGTAAATATTATTTCAATATAGAACTAACAATATTGTATTGAAACACTTATTTATTCAAGAAAAATATTTTTAAGGAAGTATTCTTTGAAACCAGGAAATCTTGGAAAATGCACCTTGGATTTCTTGATATTCTCAGATCTACTTTGCAGTTGAAGGCAGGTATTATGGAATGTTGTCACAAGTATTTATTTCAATAAAATTTCATTGTATAGTCAAAGTCTTTACTGGTATCTTGGGCCTTGATATTGGTGTGTATGGTGGCCCCCATGTCAATAAGTTCTGCATTTGTGTCTTCAACCAATAATGGATTGAAAATACTGAGAAATGCTGTTTTTATTAAATATACACAGGCTTTTCTCTTGTCAAAATAACCAATAGGACTTGTAAGATAGCTCATGGAGAAAAAGCACTCTCTCTGTATCCTAACAACCTGAATTCAACCCCCAGAAGCTGAGTGGTAGAAAAGAGAACTGATAAAAGTAAGTTGTCTTTTGCCATCCACAAATAAATGTATCATAAATGAACACATAAACAAAAATAATAACATAAGAAATACAAAATAATAACTATTACATTTGAATTGTATTAAAATATACAATCCTCAGAGGTTTGGAAGTACAGAGAAACGTATGACAAGATCAGATGTAAGTTTTTTTACTTTTGTATAATGGACTTGCACAGTCACTGTCATTGGTTCACTGTGACAGGACTGGGAACTAATTGATCCCCATCCCCATATGTATGGAAGACTGCCTGTGTGAACAGGATCATACTAGTGGAAGAGATGAGAAAAGCAGAATAGTGGGCTTCTTTATCCCTCTCAAAAAAAGGAGCAGATTTTCCTAAAGTATTTCAGAACCACAAGACTCCTCCACCCTTGGAGCATAAAACCTACAACTCTCCTTGCAATTGCATAAACCTTTCCATTCTTCCTTCATTTAAATGAAGGTAGTTGATCTTTCTCCCCACAATGGTAAATCAAGGTTTACAGATAGGTCTAGGCACATCCCTTGTATAGTATAAATATATCTGATTTCATCACCCCCTTGTTGTTCTCTTGATACCATGACTTCACCCTACAAATTACACACTCTGACTTCAGAGTGCACATCTTAAACATCCAAAGCCAATGAACAATCTATAAAACATGAAGAAATCATAAATTGATTTATATTCATATCCAGCATATATCATTTACACATATGTAAAATAGCAAAAACTAAATTTTATAGACATGTCACATCTTTTTGCAATTTCTACTCATTGGGAAATAATGCTCATTTATGTATCTTCCTTGAAATATGAATGGTAGAAACCACAAATGTTTGTTTAGATGAGTTATATAGTAGACTCCATTTTTGGAATCACCTTTCCTATGTGCTACCTCACAGTTTTCCCTTCTCTTAAACTACCATTTAAATGTTGATCTCCATTTCTCTTCAAAGCCTCAACGTTGGTCTCACAGATGTGATCTAAATGCTGACAACTTCAACTCTTATATCTCAACATAGACTTTCCCAATGGGACATGGATATAGCAAAATATTACTGAACACATTTTTTATTTCCCTCTGAGATAACCAAATATGGTACTCCATAGTTGATTTTTTGAGTCAACCCTTCCCTACCACTGTGATCTTATTGTCCCAGGAATTTACAAACTGTTAGGAAATAGTTCCACCAATCTCCCATATGGCTTGTCAAATTAAACAAGAAACAAAGTAAAATCAATTGATTTTCATATCTGATTTCTCTTTGTCTTTTTAGAAAAACATATTTATTCCATTAATCAACCTTGATGTTATTGTCTGTAAAATAATTTATAGAATATTCATTTGCTTAGGATGCTACTACAAAATACCAGATCCTGCCTGACTTGATAATGACTTCAAGAACAAAAATGCAGTTTTAGTGTCTAAGAAGTTGGGACACCTATCATCATGCTACTAGAATGATCATTTTTTGGTGAAAACATTCTTCCTGGATCATAAATGATCACCTAATTGCTGTCTGTAGACTCATACAGAGAAAGCTATATTGTCATTTCCTCTTCTCACAATCTCCCCAGTTCTTTTGATCAAGGCTCCACCTTTTGAAATAATTTTCAACTGCTTAGAGATTCATTCTCCAGGTACATTCATATGGGAAATCTGCCATTCAAAATATGATGTTGGTAGAATGTGATTCAAATTATGACAACACATTTCTGTTCTCAAGGTCACCATCCCTGATAAAGTTTGATTCACTTGTTATTCACTTTCTTCATCAATGATTGGTCTCTAAAAATTTATACTTTTCTAAGAAATCAGAAATGTTGTTAAAATTTTAGTTATTTGACTTTGCATCATTGCTTAAATCTGTCAAAGGTTTGTCATTGAACTGAAAATACAAAAAATTATTTCACAGTTTCTCTAGTTTGATACATAATTCTTTCCTTCTATAAATAATCTGCTATTTTCTAGAATCATATTACACATCAAAGCCCCCTTGCATACTTACTCCATACTTTTGTAATTCTGTCATGACTCTTTTCCATTAGATGAGATACCTCTTTCTCATTCTTATCCCAGTTAAAGTATTGTCTCACAGGAGCCATTTCTACTGGCTTGAGAGATACTTTATCAATGCTTGTACAACTCTTGAAGAGATCCAAGTGCCTTTTCACCCATGAAGTAAAGTCCCCAAAACCATATTGGATATGGTTTTGGATATCATGGATAACATGCCTTCATGGTGTGTGCACAAAATCTCCACACAGACACTCACACAGACACATAGCTTAAAAAGAAAATCTTCAAAAGATTTTCAAGAAAGGTATCCCTACATTGCTTCTTTTCTTGCCCAGGATGTAGACTATAGAAAAGCAAAGATGCTGGTATTTTTTGTAGCCCTCAGAGCCAAATACAGAATTATGTACATCACAAAGCACCAAGATAATTAGTATTTTGCAAATGAACAATTTAAAATTTAACTATCAAGGTTAATATGAAGAAAAAAACACTGCTGGAAAAATGAGGAGATAAGCACATTTGGGATATTTATTAAGTTACATATTGTGAAGTAATTTTAAAATACAGATTAAGACTTTGTCAAATGTGAGTTGTTTCATGGTTCTTGGAAACTGAGGAAGTTATTCAGAGGGTTCCATATAGCACAAAGAAAAATAAAAAAAATTCACAGTTCATGGTGAACAAGGCTGTTGGATGACAGATACTATAGCAACATCACACGTGGTACTGTAATATTATGTGGACTCTCACAGTAATCTCTCATTCCCTAAAGAAATATGATTTACCAAAATACTCAGCATTGACACTATAACCAGGTTTTTCTTAAAAGTTACAGGAATTTAGAAAAGTACCACATGGAATTTAAGGTGTTTTCATTATTATAAGGATATTATATACTCTTATTATAGGGAGTTCCATATTAATGGTAAGAAGGGTTTTTCTTTTTTTCTGGTGAATAGATTAAAAAAGAAAGGGTCTTCAGTGTAAAAAGTAGAAACTAGCATTTCCCTAGAAGATAGAATCCTATGAATAGCAAATAGGCTAGCTATTCCAAGTACAGCTATTTGAACAGAGACAAATGTGCTTAAAATATTCTTGGAAAATCATCAAGCATGCAATGAAAGCTCATTTCTAGTGTAATAAAAATTGTATCTAATCTAAAGAATCTTAGATTGGGCTTGGTTTGATGGTTTAGCAGAATTGTCAAGTCAAAACATGAAGTAACTGAAAGTGCTGGTAGCTTCAACTCCTTTCTGGGCCTTATGTTCAGAATATGGCACAAGAAAAAGTGAGCTATAGACTAGCAATATAGTTCACCAGCAAGTATTTGCACAAGTAAGAAAGACAGATGGTGGTTGTCTGCTGTGACAGAGACTAAGACCATCTTCTGCGCACAACTCTTGGAGTCAGAGAGATTGTCCAAAGCAAAGCAGGTTTTAGAAAATGGTGAAAATGATCACTGAAGATGACCACTACTAAGAGCAGGAAGATCTGTACAGAGCCAATCACAGACAATCAAAAACTAACATATTATACATGATCTATCATTTCTCCACTCCATTCTTTTATCTGATCTGGAAGGAGAGAGAGCAAATATACATGCAAATGTCTTCTGTCAGCATGGGCCCATGAGCAAGAGACACACATGTCAGCTATTATTGTGTACATAACAAGGCCTTTACAAGAACAGAGGGATTTTTAATAATTGAAAACCACCAGAAAACCCTAGAATTTATCCTAAATGACAAGCATTAGCCCTGCAAACTGCTATCTTTCAAAACATAAAAACAAGGTTGGAGACAAAATAAAGTATTATAAATACATAGTAAGTATACACCAGAGCAATTCAGATTGTACAGTGAGGCCTTCCTCAAGCAGTGATTGGTACCTGTCCTCAGACCTCTCTC